ATTTGACTTAAAAGCTAGTTTGATGAGAAGCTTATGTGAATTCCCTTTATTGGTTTCTTTTGGACCCGTATTCTTCTTCTGATTCACGCAGAGTTTTTTTCTCTTTCTTGGTTTCTTTGGAATGTTTTCTCCTTTGTTTTGTATGATATCTAAGAAGGGGATGTGTTCCTTTTCAACTTAAAGCCAGTTGATGAGATGCTTATATAAATTCCCATCCTTGGTTTCTTTTGAACTCGTATTCTTCCTCTCACCCATGCAGAATTCTTATTTTCTCTATTTTCCTATTGTATATATTTTCTCTTCTATTGGATTCTTGAGGTAAAAGGAGTGCGATTTACACAATTCTACCTGATTTTTCTATGGTGGAAAAGATGAATGTCTTAAAAGTAAACCTTAAGCAGCAATAACTGCGATGATCCTTCATGAAGAGATGTTTTCTGCTCTACAGACATAGGCTAATCTCGCCTTGTTATTATAATTGCTTTTCTTTTACTATAAGCAGTATTCTTTTCATAAAAATTTCCTTTACAAATATATCAAAATTTTAATCAATCAAACATGTTTTTATTTGCAATTTTTCTAGAACTATTATCATTTTCATTTTTGTATGGGCAAAACCATTCTACTTCTGATAGAAATGTGTTAGACCTATCCCATAGGGACCGGTTCACGCGAACAGAGGCGGCATTTCTCTGCCTCTCCTGTACGCCGATCCAGCCGCAGAAGCCAACTGAGCAGATTTGGAAGGTTTTGAGGGAGTTGGGAGGGAAATTTGAATGTAGGGATTGGTTTCCTTTTTTATTGTATGCATTAAATAGTTTGTTTTCCTAGGATTAGGGCATCTTGAATTTGGATGAAAGTTGAGATCTCTTAGATTTAGGTTTTCTTTTGGGTTCTTGCAGCGTCTAGAGATTTGGGAGGAATCAATCCTCTCAAATAAAGAATCAATTGTTTCTTGCTATTTTCCATTTCCCTTTCATCAAATAATACAAATTATCTACTGTTTTCGTGGTTTTGTGCGAATATTTGTGGAGAATTCTCACTGTTTTTCGAAGATTGATAGGAATACTTGAGATCTAGAAGTGTTTCCTAACAAATTGGAATCAGAGCATGTCGATCGAAGGGGAACCAATAACCGGAAGGAAAGTGGAAGTTTTGGAGAGAGAACTTGAGCAACTCAAAGAAGATTTTGAGGAGAAGATAGGTGAAATCAGATCACATCCGTCAATGAAAGAATGGAGGAAAAGTTCTTCGTGGTGGAAGACATATTGAAGAAATAGCTTGAAGCCAAAACCAAATCGCTGAAATCAGAAGCAATGGAAACTACCGGCGGCCATGAAAGAGATGGGAAACCCTAGCACGTTTAAGGGAAGAGAAAATCTAGAAGTGAAAATCCTGAAGGGAGAAGACGGAATGCCTCCTTTAGAACAACTTTCTAGGGAGGAGATGAGCATTGGCTATGCAAGAAGGGGTACTGAATTTGTAAGGAAAGGGGATGATTTCGATCGCCGGGTTGTTGATTTTGAAAAAAAAGAGGGGATTTTGATGAAGGGTTTGGGTATGATCGCCAGGGAAAGATCGTGACAATTGGGAGCACCTCCTCTTTAAGGAATGGTAGATTATGGAGAATTTAGGGGAAACATGTGTGACCCGAGGGTGAGGAAATTGAAGATGCCACTCTTTGAGGGGGAGGATGCGCATGGGTGGATCTAGAAGGTAGAAAAATATTTTGTCATTAATGGGTTGACAGAGGATAGACTGACAACACCGGGCCTTTATTTGGAAGGGAAGACTTTGTCTTGTTATCAATGGATGGACATGCGACGACTCATACATAGTTGGAGAGAGTTCAAGGATATTATTTGGTAGAACATTTTCGAATTGGCAGGGGAGGAGACTTCTACTATCAGTTTTTCTCCTTGACACAGGAGGATTCAGTGACGGAGTATCAGGAGAGATTCGAGTACCTTGCTAGCCGATTGGACCGCCTTCCTAAGACAGTTCTAGAGGAAAATTTCGTGAATGGACTAATACTAGAAATCCGGGTAGCGGTTTGAGTAACGAGGCCTCGTGACTTGGGAGAGGCTATGAAATTAGCTCAGTGGGTGGAGGATCAGAGGCAACTGGAGAGAGAAACTGGAGGCAGTAGCTCAGTAGGCTCGTACAAGATGATCACCACCTTATTGATATCCAAGGAGCCAACACTGGATGCTATTCGGGGAACTTCAAAGGAAAAGACTACAGGTGGAAGATCTGGGGCAACATCAAGAAGCTCACAGAAACAAAATTACATGAGAAGAGGGTAAAGGGGCTCTGTTTTAGATGCGACGAAAAGTATACTTCAGTGCACCGGTGTAAGGATCGAACTCTTCAGGTTCTTATCGTTTGTGATGACAAGGGTATGGAGGAAGGTGTTGTCTTTCCACCTTGCGGACCAGGTGGATCTTTATTGTTAGACCGGTCCAGCTGGTCCCATAGGGACCGGTTCACGCGAACAAAGGTGGGATTTCTCCACTTCTCCTGTACGCCGATCCAGCCGCAGAAGCCAGTAGAGTAGATTTGGAATGTTTTTTGAGGGAGTTGGGAGGGAAATTTGAATGTAGGGACTGTTTAGAGAATTCCTTTTTGATTGTATGCACTAAATAATTTGTTTTCCTAGGATTATTGCTCTTGAATTTGGCTGAAATTCGAGATCTCTTAGATTTTGGTTTTCTTTTGGGCTCTAGCAGCGTCTAGAGATTTGGGAGAGATCGATCCTCCTCTCGAATAGATGATCAATTGTATCTTGCTATTTTCTGTTTCCCTTTCTTCAAATAATTTTCGTGGTTTTGTGCGGATTTTTTTGAAGAATTCTCACTATTTTCCGAAGATTGATAGGAAATACTTGAGATCTACAAGTGTTTCCTAATAAAATGCTATTCATCAGGATATGTTTCAACAGGTTATCTTTTGAATGCATACGATTTGACATATTTAAGGATAGATTCTATGCTTATACCACTTCAGGCTTGTCTTTGTGATGCGAGATGTGACTGTTGTTTGAGGTTTTCCAATATATCATCAGTATGATGCATAATATATCTTCATGCAAAGGAAAATTAAGAATGCTTAGGTCACAAGTCACAATAACCAGCCATTCACTTTGAATGAAATAGGTAATGCTATAATTTAAGGCCAATTGATACTGAAATGATAGAAAATATCTGCGAATTTCAAGAAGGAGAAACAAAATCAATAAGAAAACCAAAGGAATTTCCAGAAATTAGATTTTTGGACGAATTCCGGTTGTCCTTTCCATGTTTGTTTATCTTGCAGGAACATAAGCATTTTTGGGACTAAGAAGCTTGCTTGTGAATAAAAATGAAGCATCTTTTCTCCATTTCTCTCGTAGCAAGTGAATTGGTTCCTCAATTTTTTTTTTAAATGCATCGGGCTTGTTTTGTGATAAAAAAGTACCCCTCAAATTTAAGGGAAAACTCTATAAGATGGTGGTGAGGCATGCAATGTTTTATGGTGCTGAATGTTGGCCATTAAAAGAGAAGCATAATCCTAAGTTAAGTGTGGCAGAGATGAGGATGCTCAGGTGGATGAGTGGCTTTACCCTTAGAGATAGGATACGAAATGAGCATATACGTGAAAAGGTTGGATTAGCTCCAGTAGAAGGTAAGATTAGAGAGAGTCGCCTTAAATGGTTTGGTCACATAAAAAGGCGACCTTCTGATGACCCGGTTAGGAGAGTAGAGGTATTAGATTTGACTTGTGTTAAGAAAGGTAGGGGTAGACCTAAAAAGACTTGGTTAGAAAATATTAGGAATGACCTTTTTTATTAGATTTAAATGAGAATTAGGAAAGTGCATAAATTCAAATCTATTTGAAATTCAAATTAAATTGGATTTCATAATATCTTTCCTAATTCCTATGTGTTGTTTTGGAAACTCATAAAACTCTCCTCACAATCCCCTCCCTCCTCTTCATGCTGCCGGTCCCCTCATTGGGCTTGGCTCTTGTTGTTCCCTCATTGAGCCCTCACCACATTAAATTTGAAATTGAATTTCAAATTTAATTCCCTCCCAAACCTCTCAAAATGTGAAATTAATTTCAGATTTATTTTCCATCCCCCACCCCCTTCCTTTGCTCCTCTCCTTCTTGAAACCAGTGCCTATCATGGCATTGGAAGACAAGAGAAGAAGACAACTCCTCTCATCATTGGTGCATGGTCGATCCTGAGGTCGATCACGGCTTCGCTTACAACGCCCTAGGAGAAATCGACATTCTCCCCTCCCCCCTTCTACGAGCTCGACTGGGAGTACGACGAATCGGTGGAAGACAACGTCAACCGTATTCTCTATTGCTTAGCGGAGAAGGATTGATCTTCAAAAACCCAAGACGCCTTGGCTTCTCATTGGGAGATCCACCCATTCTCCACCCTCGGCTACTTCTCCGGCGGATAAGGCCTTACGCTTCACTTGTCTTGTGATAACATCACTTGGTTTGCTTATACTCTTTCTCCGCTAAACCCGCTACAAGTAAGAGAGAAGGAACTCAAGGTGAAACATCTTGATTTTGCACCGTGGATTATTGTTTCATCGTCATTAGTTTATCTACTTACTTTTGCTAATCTCTTGCAAGTACTTCATTAATCTCCGTTGTAATCGTTTACTTTTACTTAATCTTGTAACGACAAATTCCAAAATCATTACTTGGTGAAGCATAAGTTTTCCACTAGCGAAGTAAGGTTCAAATTGTTATTAATTTCCAAATCAATTCTTGTGTACGTGTATCTTTCACATCAAATACAAAGAATGCTATGGAGTTGGAGCAAGGAGGTAACGTGTTTTAATGATGATGATGAGTACCCTCACGAATTTTTTTAAATGCTGACGCCAATTATAACTTATAATTGTGCTTTGCCTATCAGTTCATATCTCTTTGAACTTTAAGAAGTCACAATCTATCTATTTACTAACGTGCACAAAATTTTCTCCTGCAATGTTGAGCAGGTCAAGCAGTTAACTAACAACATTCAGTATATTATTGACACATTGCGCTTGTCCAGTGTTGTGGAAGTTCAGGTATGAGGAAAGGAGGATTAAGGCTTCGTTTGAGACAGCTTTTTTATTTCTTCTTAAAATAAAATTTTCCAGCTTTAAGAAGCAGTAAGAAAGCCATCCTAAAAGAAGCCAAAGGCTTTGTTTGGGACATCTTTCGTATTGCTTTTTAAAACGGCTTTCTACTGTAAATATTTCAAATTTAAGATATTTATGTACTAGAAAACAGTTTTAGAAAGCAAAAAAAAAGCTGTCACAACCGAAGAATAAATTGTCAGTCGGCATTTACTTTTTAATAATAATAATAATAATAATTTGCATCTATTTTTTATGTAGGGTGAGAAAATAAGGCGGCGGAATGATTGGTCGAAGTGGTTGAATGCAGCCAATCAATTTGGTTCTTCTGGTGCTCGATCTCCGACTACCACCACCACCACTTATGATGCCATGACAAGCCAGTTTCAAAACTTTGGATTGGAGAATAGTTCTAAACACAATAGTATGAGAGGATCAGCAGACCCAGTTATTGCCGGATCAGCATCTGGGGATTTTAATAGCCAACAATCAGTGGACGGTCAGAGCTAGAGGTGACATAAATTTTGATTTTGGCGGATCTGTTTTTTTTTTTTTTGGTTCGAAGAGCTATAATGGAGCTGAGGGTATATTTTCAATCAGTTTATTAAAAAAAAAAAGAAAAAAAAAAGTTTCTGCTAGATTTTCTTCCGTTTACAAAATTAAAAAAAAAATTAAAAAAAAATAAAATCTAAAAAGAAAGTAAATGGTTTTGAATTTGTATAGATTTGGCTCAGCAGATGGTATTGAATTGTTAGTATATGCATTTCTACTAAGTTTTATATCGTTAGAATCAGGGATGAATTTTGGGGAGTTTATTGCAATTTTTGTTCGAGCTGAGTACATTGACATTTATTTTGCGCCTATATTACAATTTTTTTTCTCACCATTCTTATTTAGAAATTACGTATGTGTGCTTTGGAGGCTGTAATAGCAAAAACTAATCTTATTAGCAAAGTGCATAATCAATTAAATTAATATTATTATGCAATATTTGTTAATATAGTTTTGTATTTTTTGTAGATTTATATGATTAATTTTATGGATGGATTTTGTATGTGATTATTTTTTGTTTATTTTGAGAGATACCCTAAACTATAATTATAGGGATTATGTGGTGATGGAAAATAAATATTGAATCTGCATTTTATGTTTAATAATTTTGAGCATGTTAAATTGGAAAGACTAGATACTATCTATTGGTTTCGGTGTTTTGTTATTGTTAATATATTATTTTGAATTTTTCTATTGTATGAATTTCAAAGAATGATATATTTTATTTTATTTTCTAGTTTGTTTCACGCAAAAAAATTTCAAATATGGTTACGAAAGATTTCATTTGGGACGGCTTTTTTATTCTTTCTTAAAGTAGTTTTTTATTATAAAATTGTTTTAAAATACATTAAGAAAGTCGTCTTAAATGAAGCTTTACTCTTAACGGGAAGCATTTATTATTATTATTATTACTATTTCTGTTGTTGTTATTTACAATTATTTTATGTAAATTAGTTAATTTCTTTATTATTTTTTCAAAAAAAGTTCGAAGAGAATGAGTTTATGCATATGATATTTATTAATTTAGAGAAAGCATATTATAAAGTTTCAAGAGAAGTGCAATGAAGAGTTTTAGAAAAGAAAGAGGTTAATAATGCTTATATTCAAGTCATTAAGGATATGCTTATATTATGGGTGGTTTTACTCTTAGTGGGAATTATGGAGGGCAATCTTAGAGTCTAAAAGCTTTCGGTTGATTAGATCTAAAATTGAATATATTAAGTATAATGTTAGTAATATTAGTTCTTGTGAGGTGATTGTGACTTTGAGTGATCAAATCATTAATAAGAGTAAATATTTTAAATATCATAGGTCTATTGTTTAGAGTAATTGTGAAATCAATGGGCATATTATTAATAGAATTTAAGTTAGATGATTAAAGTGGAGGAATGCATTGAGCTTATTGTGTGATAGAAAAGTCTTCCTCAAACTTCAGAAAAAATTGTATAAGATGGTGGTTAGACCTACAGCGCTTTATGATGTAGAATGTTCCATTAAAAGAGAAGCATAATATTAAGATAAGTGTTGCAGTGTTGAGGATGCTCATGTGGATGAGTGACTTTATTCTTAAAGACATGATACGAAATGAACATATACGTGAAAAGAGTGGAGTAGCTCCAGTGGAAGATAAGATTAGATAGAGTCACCTTAGACGGTTTGGTCATATAAAACGACAGCCTTCTGATGGCTTGATTAGGAAAATAGTTATATTAGATTTAATTAATGTTAAGAAAGATAGAGGTAGAACTTAAAAAAATTGGTTAGAAAATATTAAAAATGACATTTCTTTATTAAATTTAAATGGGAATTTAACTTTTAACAGGGCACAATATAGAAAAAAAAGGATTAATGTAGTAGACCCCACATAATGTGATAAAGACTTGATCATGATGATGTTGTTGTTGTTGTTCAAACTTTGGAAGTACGAAATGAGTAAGGTCATGCCATAGAGATTAAGGGGTGAATTGTGGTATGTATTTCAATTTCTACCATGTCATTGATTATGTTTTGGTTTTAAAAGTGTTTTAAGGTATTGAATTATGATGTAGTTTCAATGTCTACGCTGTGTTTTTTGTCAAAATTCTTGAGTTCATGTGTTTTGGTAGTGATTCGTAAAACAGATTTGTAGTATAACAAATAAAATTTTAATACTAAAAAGTTGTTTTAAGAACTAATAAGAAAGCTGTTTGAATGGAAGAATTTTTACTATTTCTTAAAGCAGCTATCGAATACAAAACTTTTGCAACTTTCTTATTATTTTTTAAAACAGCTTTTTAGTACAGGAAGTTGCTTTAAGAAGCAGGAAGAAGAGTTGTCCCAAACGAAGCCAAGGCTTGGTTTGGTATAATTTATTATTAATATTAATAAATAAACAAAATATTTGTTTAATATTCTTATTCTTATTATTTGAATTTAATTAATTTTAAGTAGGATTTTGTAACTTAAAAAATAAAAACTATAATTGCTTTTCGAAGAATTGATATTTTTTATTAAAAAATAAAAATTTACTCCATTGTTTTTTTTACTTATTTTATATGTAGTTAAATTAGAACCTTTTCTATTAATCTACTAATTTGTTAAGTTTTTAATTATCAAATATTAATACAGAGTAAAAAAGCCAAATTGTTATGTATAAATTCATTATTTTTAATATTCTTAATATTAAATATTTTTCAAAAGTAAAAATAAATTTCATTTATTCATCTAGTTATTTACTCAATATTTTTTTTCATGCTAATATGTCTACTAAATTTTTTATAAAATTTATTGGTTAACTAATTATGAAGGAATCATTAACATAAGTAAACCAATAAATCAATCTTTAAATATTAAAATTAAAATATTTTCCCAAAAATAAAAATATATTTAAAATATTGTATATTTTATTATGTTGTTGTCAGCAAATTTAGCATTTATTGATTCCGTGTATACTATTTTACTGTTATGAGAACCAATAATAAAATGAATACTATTTAGACATATCAAAATATACAATAAATGACTTGCTAATGGTCTTTGGGTCCACCATTTGCAGAACTTCAAGGGTTTCTAAAATAACCGTTTGATTCGGGTTTTATTGTTTGTGTGTATTTTATTTGTTTAAATTAATGGAGTTCATGTCTGGTTCATGTTCGATTTGTTTAGTTCTTATCGAGCTTTAAATAAACAAGCTTTAATTAACGAGCTATGTTCGTGAATATATTTAGCGATTTTTTTTACACTATCAAACAAGCATGTTCATGAACAAATCTAATGAGTATTCTTGAGTTATTAAATGAGCAATATCTTGAATATATAAATAACTAGTATTTTCTAACTACTAAATGAGCTTGTTCACGAACAAACGATCTATGATTCATCCTAAATTTGCTTATGAACGTCTTAAACAAACAATTTAGCAATCATTGACATATGTGAAATGTCTTTTGTTCTTGAACAAAATCGTTCTATTAAAGGTATAAAATAAAATGAAATGAAATTTATAATAAAAGCAGTTGTCTATTTAAAATGAAAATATGATTAATCTATATGAATATTTTTATCGAGCTTATTCACTAGTTCTAAAACGATCACGAATTGAGCTTAATGTTGAGCTTGTTCACGAGCTTCAAATGATGTTGTCCGTGAACATAAACGAACCTAACACATTAGTGTTCAAGCTTGTTTATTTAAGGACCGAGTATTAAAAATGTTGTTCAAGTTTGTTTGTTTAGTTAGTTAATCGATAACAAACAAGCTTTAATTAAACCGAGCAACAAGTAGCTCGACAAACGTTTGGTTCGCTTAAATCCCTAAGAACATATCAGGGGTAGGCCCGACCTTAATTTTCGGGGGGGGGGGGGGGGGGGGGGGGGGGGGGGGGGGCACGGATTAGCCTCCGAGCTTAAGAGGGATCTGTCATGGCAAACATAATTGTCGTTCTTCGTCAACCTCTTGCCGACAACTATCACTGTAATAATCAATAATGATCATCCAAGGATTGTTGTCGCTATCGTTGCTTCACCCATAATCTCCCCACTGGCGCCACCGCGCCAGCTGTCAACAACAACATTAAGCATTTCTCTTACTACGTGGGATCGGCTACATAAATACTATTGGTGTAGCTATTGGTGTTGCCTCAAATTTGGCTTGACCCCTTGCTACAAGAAAAATGGTCAATAGCGACTAAAAAATAGAGATAAAAATAAACTGGTTGCTAAATATGATTAAGCATTCAATTTCTACAAAATGTATGTTGAAGTTGTCTTGAATTTGACTCGATCCTTATTTGTTCATATCCTTGATCATTGTATGCTTCGCATATATGTCGGGGTTCAAGGGGGTAGCGCCCCCTTGCGGGGGTTTTCGGAGGCAGCTCTCCCAGAACAAATTTTGGTTGTAAGGATATTTTTGGAATTCAAACTTTTATATAAAATGATTAATTCTCTTTACTATTTATCTCGGGAGGATTAGCCCCCGAGCTTAAGAGGGATCTGTCATGGCAAGCATAATTGTCGTTCTTCGTCAACCTCTTGCCGACAACTATCACTGTAATAATCAATAATGATCATCCAAGGATTGTTGTCGCTATCGTTGCCTCACCCGTAATCTTCCCACTGGCAACTGTTGTCAACAACAACATCAAGCCTTTCTCTTACTACGTGGGATCGGCTACATAAATACTTTTTCTCTACAATTGGTCTCCGAGCTTAAGAGGGATCTGCCCATGGCAATCATAATTGTCGTTCTTCGTCAACCTCTTGTCGGCAACTATCACAGTAATGATCAATAATGATCATCCAAGGATTGTTGTCACTATCGTTGCCTCACCCATAATCGCCCCACTAGCGCCTGTTGTCAACAACAACATTAAGCCTTTGTCTTACTACGTGGGGTCGACTATATAAATACTTTTTCTCTATCATGTTCCGTTAAAAGTCAATTTTTTATTTAAATATAATAAAAAAATATTATTTTTAATATTTTCTAACCAAATTTTTTTAGCATAAGCTCCCAAATTTCCTCATCTTATTAAATCCAAACCAGCACGTTTTTTTTTTTTTTTTTTTTGTTTTGGGTAAACCCAGCCCTTTTTTTTTTTTTTTTTTTTCTGTTTTGGGTAAACAGGTCTCTTATTCAAGATAGACTTTAGAAACGCGCGGAAGCCAGCCAGGCCGATTCAACAACGACAGCTCAGTTCTGAGAATATTCTAATAATTTTTTTAAAAAAAATTTCTATGTGAATATGAATATAACATAAAAAAAATAATTAATTATTCATAAATTATATTCTTCTTAAAATAAATTAAAATTACAAAATTTTATTACAAATAAATTTTGATCTGAATATTGTGATTCAAAATTTTCCTAATAATCAATCCATAAATATAAAACCCTAAATAATAATTGTTTAATGGTTTCAAAGTAATTTAAACTTTATAATTCACCAATCATAAAAAAGTTATCT